TTCAAGACCAACCAGAGCAAAAGTGAGACCCATCTCTACTAAACAGAAAAATTACCCAGTTGTCACTAAACATAGAAAAATTAGCCAGTCGTCATGGCATGGGCCTGTAGTCTTAGCTACTGGGGAGGATCACTGGAGCCCAGAAGTTTGAGGTTGCAGTGCTATGATGACACCACAGCACTCTACCCAGGGTGACAGAATGAGACTCTATCTCAGAAAATAAAATAAGATAAACATTGATAAAAGTAGTAAAAATTAGTCTCAAAAACAATGTCTAAGCATCAGCAAGTCCTATAGACTTTACCTGCAAAATATATCATAAGACAGACCACTTCTCATCATTTCCATGGCTGCAGTCAGAGTCCTAAATGGCTTAATCTGCTTCCATTCTTCCTCCTCTCCAAAACCATTCTGTACAGAGCAGTGAGAATGACCTATGTTTAAAATTGAGATTATAATATTTTGTTCTTTATTTACACTTTTTCATTTCTTTTTCTCCTCCTTTCTCTTTTTTTGGATTAAATTTTTTTGTCTTGTTTTATTATTTTAATTCCCTTTCTTCCTCTTTTGGTCCAGAAATAATACCTTTTTCCCCCTGTTATTTTGGTGGCAATGTTTACGATGCATACTTACATAATAATTAAAGCATAGATTCAATCAATTTTGATATGTTCCTCCAAACACTATGAGAGTCTTGGACACCTTTAGTAATAATTCCCATTCTATCTTATGTATTATTGTTGTAATGTTTACTTCAAACAGTAGTCATTTTTTTTTTTTTTTTTTTTGAGACAGAGGTCTCGCTTTGTTGCCCAGGCTAGAGTGAGTGCCGTAGTGCAGCTAGCTCACAGCAACCTCAAACTCCTGGCTCAAGCAATCTCCTGCCTCGCCTCCCAGTAGCTGGGACTACGGGCATTCGCCACCATGCAGCTTAATTTTTGTAGATATATATTAGTTGGCCAATTAATTTCTTTCTATTTATAGTAGAGACGGGGTCTCACTCTTGGTCAGGCTGGTTTTGAACTCCTGACCTCGAGCAATCCGCCCGCCTCGGCCTCCCAGAGAGCTAGGATTACAGGCGTGAGCCACCGCGCCCAGCCCCAAAAGTAGTCATTTTTAAGATACAGTAATTGTTTAGCTTTAGCCGTGAACTTATTTCTTTGTTTATCATTCTTTTTCCCATCTCAATCTGTCCTTCTGGGCTCAAAGTCATTCTTTCCATAGTAAGTCCTTTAAAAGTTCTTCTGATGAGGATCTATTGTTGGTATTAATAAATTCCTTCAGGTTTTGGTTTGTTTGAAAGTGTTTTTTTGGTTTTTTTTTGAGACAGAGTCTCGGTTTGTTTCCCAGCCGTGGGGTCAGCCTAGCTCACAGCAACCTCAAACTCCTGGGCTCAAGCAATCCTCCTGCCTCAGCTTCCCAAGTAGCTGGGACTACAGGCATGAGCCATAATTTTTTCTATATATATTAGTTGGCCAATTAATTTCTTTGTGTTTATAGTAGAGACGGGGTCTCTTGCTCAGGCTGGTTTCAAACTCCTGACTTTGAGCAATCTGCCCGCCTCAGCCTCCCAGAGTGCTAGGATTACAGGCGTGAGCCACCACGCCCAGCTTGTTTGAAAGTGTTTTACTCATCATAGCTCACTGTAACTCAAACTCCTGGTCTCAAGCAACCCTCCCACCTCTGCCTGCCAAAATGCTAGGATTACAGGTGGGAGCCACCGTGCCCAGCCTATTTTACTTATTTTTAATTCTGGAATAATATTTTAGCTGAGAATAGAAGTCTAGGTTGGCAATTATTATCTCTCAGCTTATCAAAGCCACACCACCACTATGTTTTGAACAAAATAGAGATAAAACCAAACACAAAATGGCCAAACATCCCCTCTTCTAACATGAGTAATTGCAGCTTTTTTTTCTTTTTTGAGAGAGTCTCACTCTGTTGCCAAGGCTAGAGTGCTGTGGCGTCAGCCTAGCTCACAGCAACAGGCATACGCCATGTCTGGCTAATTGTTTCTATATATTTTTAGTTGGCCAATTAATTTCTTTCTATTTTTATTTTTATTTTTTGAGACAGAATCTCACTTTGTTGCCCAGGCTCGAGTGAGTTCTGTGGCGTCAGCCTAGCTCACAGCAACCTCAAACTCCTGGGCTCAAGCAATCCTACTGCCTCAGCCTCCCGAGTACCTGGGACTACGGGCATGTGCCACCATGCCCGGCTAATTTTTTCTATATATATTAGTTGGCCAATTAATTTCTTTCTATTTATAGTAGAGACGGGGGTCTCGCTCTTGCTCAGGCTGGTTTCGAACTCCTGACCTCAAGCAATCCACCCGCCTCGCCCTCCCAGAGTGCTAGGATTACAGGTGTGAGCCACGGCGCCCGGCCTCTATATAAAAATTATTTAGATATCCAATCACTGAAACTTCTCAACAATATTTAATCCAAAATTGGCTCTCACTACTCTAAACTCTAGTTCACAAATATCCAACAAAAGCCCAAAGGATGTAAGAGGCTCCTCCTAACTTTCCCTTAGTGAAATGGTTCCATAATTCCTTTAGGGGCTTTCTCTTCCTTGCTATAGCAAGCCAAACAAACCCAACTTTTTAAACTACAGGTTCGTTTCTGGAGGTGTTTGGTCAATGGGCTTTGATGAGGATGATGGTCAAATTTCTCCAATACCAATTGACTATGTGAAGAATATATATGTGTGCACAAATATGTATGTATAATATATATAACATATTATATAAGAATACACATTATATTTAAATATTTTATATATAAACATAAATATTAAATAAAAGTGTGCAGATACATATCAAAAGGACCACAGATGACTTTGGATTTAAATTTTTATTATAAAATTTTCAAACAATTACAAAAAGAAAGAGACTAGTATAATGAAGCCCTGTGTGTACATCACCCAGTCTCAACAATGATTAATTTCATGTTTCAATCTTGTTTTATCATTACCCGCAACCACTTCTCCCTAGCCCTGGATGATCTGGAAACAAATACCAGGCCGGGCATGGTGGCTCACTTTTGCCCGTAATCCTAACACTCTGGGAGGCCAAGGTGAGAGGATTGCTTGAGCTCAGGAGTTTGAGACCAGCCTGAGCAAGAGTGAGACATCTCTATCAAAAAGAAAAAGAATAAATAAATAAAATAACAAAATCCAGCCAGATGTTGTGGCACACACCAGTAGTCCCAGCTACCTGACAGGGTGAGGCAGAAGGATTGCTTAGAGCCCAGAGTTGGAGCTTGCAGTGAGCTACAATGACATCACTGCACTCCACCCAGGGCCACAGAGTGAGACTGTCTCAACAACAGAAATCCCAGATATCGGCTGGGTGCGGTGGCTCACGCCTGTAATCCTAGCACTCCGGGAGGCCAAGGCGGGTGGATTGCTCGAGGTCAGGAGTTCGAAACCAGCAAGAGTGAGACCCCGTCTCTACTATAAATAGAAAGAAATTAATTGGCCAACTAATAGATATAGAAAAAAATCAGCTGGCATGGTGGCGAATGCCCGTAGTCCCAGCTACTTGGGAGGCTGAGGCAGGAGGATTGCTTGAGCCAGGAGTTTGAGGTTGCTGTGAGCTAGGCTGACACCATGGCACTCACTCTAGCCTGGGCAACAAAGTGAGACTCTGTCTCAAAAAAAAAAAAAAAAAATTCCCAGATATCACAAGATATATCTCTCAAAGATAAACATTTGTTTTTTATTTCGGCACATTATGGGGGTACAGATTTTAAGGTTTCAATAAATGCCCATTCCCCCTGATAAACACTTTAAGTACCACTTATCACACCAAGTATTCATCAACATTTAAATTTCCCCAATTATCTCATTTTTGTTTTGTTTTGTTTTCTTGAATTAGGATCCAATAAAATCCATACTCTGTTTGATGTCTAAGTTCCTTTCAGTCTATAGGTTCCCTCTCCATCTTTTTTTGCTTTCAATTTATTTGTTAAAGAACACAAGTCATTTGTCCTGTAGGGTATTCTCACAGTCCTAATTTGCACCTCTGAGGTAACATTTGATATGGCCTCTTGTGATTAAGAGAAAAATTAAAGTTGTCAGATACACATATATCTAAGAAGAGTATTGCGTGGGTTTCTGAATTAAATGTAGAGCCAATTGGTAAAATGCCTTAGTGGTACTATTTGGAATCAGTCCTTGGGTTAATTTTACTTGGCAAATACTTAAGGATGATGATCTCAGATATTCCTATGGCTGCAAACACCTGACATGCCTAAATCCCTTGGTTGCAATATCTTAAATGCACAAGATTACGTTATTCCACAAAAGTACCTTTCTGAATGTCTTTTTCTCTCCATTTATCTCTCCAACTCCCCCTCCCTTATGGTTTAGTAACCTTCAAAAAATTCTATTTCCAGTCTTTCTTCATCTCTTTACCTTTGTTAGCCTTCTCCCCTAGCAACTCAGGAGTTTATATTTTGTATGTATTATTGAGGGCGTGGGAGGAAGAATTGCTGTATGAACTAAGGTAATGAAAACAGAGGAAGTAGGGGGATAGACAGCTGCAAGGATCTGAGCTGGATAGACTGAACGAACCTTCATCCTAAACAACTCAGAGCTCACATTTCTTCTCTGGACAGCTGGCTTTTTTAGTCCTTCTAAAATACTCTGTCTGCACAGATGTGGGAGGGGCTGTATTACCTCTGCTATGGATCTTATTTAAAGTCAGCTACCTCCCAGATGACCATTTGTAGAAACTAAATGTAATATTCAATATAGCAAAGATGAGGGTGGTAAACAAAATGCATCCAATCACCCGCTATAATTTTTAAAGGCCAGGAGCTCGTTATTAAGAATGCTGGAGGACTGCCTGGAGTAGGCAGTGACTGGAAGTCATACAAGCTGGAATTGGACACCTAACTTGTCTATCATATTTTTCTTCCCACCTCCACTTGGCACCCAATACTCCATATTCTTTCTAATCCTCCTACCCTCCCCACTCCCCCCACTCCCACACCCTACCCCCACTAACGTTCCTGGAATTTTGGACTTAGCTATTTTTAAAACCGTCAACTCAGTAGCCACCTCCCTCCCTGCTCAGCTGTCCAATACTCCGGCCAGCCATATACTTCCCCTGCCCCCCACGCCAAACCTTCTCTGGCTCCCTGACCTCAGTGAGACTGCAGCCGGATCTGGGGACCTGGGGGAGACATGGAGAAAGAGACGGGGACCCCCTGGCTGGAGCTGACTGACAGAGTAGGCAACCATGGCTGGAGAATTGGATATCAGAGTAATGTTTGACCTCTGGAAACAGTAAGTCAAAATGAAATTGCAATTCCTTTAATAAGCTTTTGGACTGAAATTAGACTTTTATAAAATTACAGACACCTACTTGGATATCTCTGGTCCAAAGGCTAGGACCTCTCCCTATCAAGGTGCCCCAATCTCCATTTCTCCTTGTGTCTCATTTCCTTCTGGCCTCTGGCCTCTAGCCATTTGAAGTTTAATCCTGTGTCTCTCCTCGGGCAGTCTTAGCTCCCGCTTTACTCTGTTACCTCAAGATTTCTGATGAAATTTTAGGAGTTCTCCACATTCTCTATTCTGTATTTTTCTCACCAAGGCCAAATTTGGCCTCAGATGATTAGTCACTGACACCCTTCTAGCCTGCCCTACTTAGCAATGCCCTTCACATTGGGATTCCAAGGGTGGGGGCTACTCCTTGTAAATTATTTCTCCCCACAACTCCAGTCCCTCTAGTCTATTCTCCCTCCTGGGACTCTTCTCCCAATCATATCCTTACCCCAAGAGAGGGGAGTTCTGCAGGAGGGAGTTACTCCCTGCACAACCCCTGCCCTCATCAAAAGACTGAAAACTTCTGAATTTGCAAAGGGGAGATCAATGGAAAGAATGGGTCTTCAGTAGGGTTTGGAAAAATACAAGAACTAAGAAAAAACAAGTATTGATTCACATGCTTGGTTTGCATCCTATTATTCAATGAGAGAGAGGGATTATAACTCTAGCTCCCTAGAGCTGATAAAAGAGATTGGTTCCCTTTTCATTTGAATACTGATGTTCTAGAGGGGGAGGGTATTCCACCTTTACTCCTTGTGTTCTTCTGACACAAAGAAGAAAGAGAAATTAATACACCTGGAGAGTGTCCCTTCTGATAGAGAAGGACAGATCACAGGTATATTTCTTTTCTTTTTTTTTTTTTCTCAATGCATCCCGGCATATTATGGGGGTACAGATTTTAAGGTTTCAATAAATGCCCTTTCCCCCCCTCCCCTCCAGAGGTATATTTCTGAAATATTTTCATACCCTAATTCTATTGGAGATCTCACTGGTGACTGGTATTTGATCCCCATGAGTCCTCCATTTTTGACATATCTGCTGTTTGGTGGCTCAGGATGGGGCAATACAGTGGACTTTGCCCCCAGAGTTCACTCAACCTTCTCTCCACCCCCACCTAGGGTTATTGCACAAGGGCCTTGAAAGTGCCACAGGAGCAGGGCACAGAAGCTTAATAGCCACATTTATATTTGAGGAGTCCCATTCTCCCCAAACTCTAGTCTGTTCATCCTTTTCTCAATCTCCCCAGATTCTCTTCACATCATCCTGACCAGTCTTCAACTCTTCTCTCTCCCCATGCCCAGCCAAATTTCTTTTTTCAGTCACTTACAGGACGTGCGGTCAAAATTCACTAGGTAGGAGGGTCATCAGCTGGGAAGAACCGGCGCCTGGGGGGACCAGGCTGGATAGGTATGGGGGATCCAGGCCAGTCCTCTGGTCCCCGGTCCCCCCATGGCAGTCCCCCAACTCTAAGCACTCTCACTCTCCTGCTGCTCCTCTGTGGACATGGTAAGGAAGGGCCAGGGAGGGGGGTGGGGAAATCCAGAGGGTAGGCTGCTATGTAGCGTTGGGTATGCGAGCATGTGTGAGTGAGGAGTGAGGAGAGACAGGTGCTGAGGAGTCCTAGTCACTCGCCCTACTCCCCAAATAAGTGTATTTTATTTCCCATTCCACTTGGGGAATGGAACTGGGGAAGCCCTTGATTGACAGGGAGAAGAGACGCAGGCTTACACATTTTTAGTAAGGCCGAGTTAAGAAAGGACTAGGGAAGTGGGGGTTGGGTAGGGGAAGGCCCTTAGTTGGGTTTTAGGAACTTCTGAAATCCCTTGATGAGATCTGGAAGAGTTATGAGCATACTCTAACAGAGCAGAGGTCTGGGAACTGTCTCACAATCCTCTCCCTTCCGTCCTCAGCTCATTCTCAATGCAAGATCCTCCGCTGCAATGCAGAGTATGTGTCGTCCACTCTGAGCCTTAGAGGTGGGGGTTCATCAGGAGTGCTTCGAGAAGGAGGAGGAGGCGGCGGCGGCGGCGGCGGCGGCGGCGCGGCTACCGGCCGAGGAGGTGGAGGGGTGGGCTCCGGTGGCCTCTGTCGAGCCCTCCGCTCCTACGCGCTCTGCACTCGGCGCACCGCCCGCACCTGCCGCGGGGACCTCGCCTTCCATTCGGCAGTGCACGGCATTGAAGACCTGATGATCCAGCACAACTGCTCTCGTCAGGGCCCTACGGCTCCTCCCCCGCCCCGGGGCCCAGCTCTGCCAGGTGCTGGACCTGGCCTCGCAGCCCCGGACCCCTGTGACTATGAAAGCCGGTTTTCCCGGCTGCATGGTCGTCCCTCTGGCTTCTTGCATTGCGCTTCCTTCGGGGACCCCCATGTACGCAGCTTCCACCACCACTTTCACACGTGCCGTGTCCAAGGAGCTTGGCCCCTGCTGGATAACGACTTCCTCTTTGTCCAGGCCACCAGCTCCCCCGTGGCACTGGGGGCCAACGCTACCACCATTCGGAAGGTCAGGGACTCAATTTTCCTCCAGACCCACTTCGTGAAAATCTCTCATGGTTACTCCTCGGTACCACTTATTCCTCATTCCCACTACTCCACAGCAATGTTCCTTATTCCCTTCTTTCCTCAACCACTCCCCTATCTTGAATCACTCCCTCCTACCGAACACTTGCTCCAGTAAATCACTTCCCTTGATGGGAATTTCACTCAAATGCAGAAAACACTGGAGAGAAAGTTGGGGAGAGTAGACTTGAGGAGTTTCAGAAGGGAAACTTTCTTCTTAGGAGTTGCTGAGATTGAGTAGAGAGCAGGGTTAAGTAGAGATAAGGCAATACTGAAACATGAATAGAAGAAGGAATCAAGGTTTGATGGCCAGGAGAAGCCTTGCATCTCTGTGCTTGGATCACATCCCTGACTGTATGAGGTCTGATTGGGGGGAGGATGCACTGAGCCCAGAATGAACTATTTTCCCTCTTGCCCTCACAGCTCACGATCATATTTAAGAACATGCAGGAATGCATTGATCAGAAGGTCTACCAGGCTGAAGTGGACAATCTTCCTGTAGCCTTTGAAGATGGTTCTATCAATGGAGGTGACCGACCTGGTGGCTCCAGTTTGTCTATTCAAACTGCTAACCCTGGGAGCCATGTGGAGATCCGAGCTGCCTATATTGGCACAACTATAATCATTCGGCAAACAGCTGGGCAGCTGTCCTTCTCTATCAAGGTAGCAGAGGATGTGGCCAGGGCCTTCTCAGCTGAGCAGGACCTGCAGCTCTGTGTTGGGGGATGCCCTCCAAGTCAGCGGCTCTCTCAATCAGAGCACAATCGTCGGGGAGCTATAACCATTGATATTGCCAGACAGCTGTGCAAGGAAGGGCTTCCAGTGGAAGATGCTTACTTCCATTCCTGTGTCTTTGATGTTTTAATTTCTGGTGACCCCAACTTTACTGTGGCAGCTCAGGCAGCTCTGGAGGATGCCCGAGCCTTTCTGCCAGACTTAGAGAAGCTGCATCTCTTCCCCTCTGATGCCGGAGTTCCTCTTTCCTCAGCAACCCACCTAGCCCCACTCCTTTCTGGGCTCTTTCTTCTGTGGTTTTGCATCCAGTAAGTAGGCCAGCAATCCCATGACTGGTTTGGAAATGATTTGGGGATACAGAGTGGCATGGAAGAACATAAAGAATCACTAAAGGAAATAATAGGGACTAGAAGATACATGAAACAATGACATTTATCCAGAGTTAGATGAGGCTGCAGTTCACAGTCAAAACAATCACAGAATAAGGATTCTGCAGAAGGTTTCTGCATTCCAGACCTCTGTAGGTGCTCTCCACCAATGTTTTCAGTCCTGTTTATAGGAAGCAAATTGCTCCAATCCATCTATTCCAGAGATCACCCCTACAAGCTTAGCGGTTAGGTGGGGTCCTAACAATCAATAAATTAAGGGTTGAGTTATTTTAAGAACCAAGAACTGAAAAAGGAATACATGATCATTACCCATAAGAAACTCAAAAGAGGAGGAAATATGGAAAAAAGTTTATGATGAATATATATGGGTAAGGTATATTCTGCTTTCCTACTTCAGAAATGAAGTGGGTGTTATCTGGATCTTAAGTGAAGGGAGTCTCTGCTTTTGGAGAACAGCACAGATAAGGACAGAAGCCATCATCCCCACCCCTAACTAATCTATTATTAAAACTATGAATTCTTCACACTATCCTGTTGCCTATGTTGAATCTCTTCATAGATGCTTGAAATGGAGAACGGCAATACATTCACACCACTGAAAGAGGGCTCAGAAATACCAAGTATTGTTTCTGTCCTCAGAGAGTTGACAGGCTAGTAGAGAGACAAAAGTGATTCACATTAAGGAATGATGAGTGTGTAATGAGTCACTAAATTCTACGGTACTGTGAATTCAGGTGGGAAGATGATTGATGAGTAGTAAGAGGTAATAGAGAAGATAGGATTTGAAGTGAGCCTTGATAAATCAGTAGGATTTGAATGTTAAAGACCTTCTAAACAATGGAAACTGTCTGGAATTATGCATAGATTCATATTTCAGGGAGGAAACCAGCAAGACTCAAATGAAGTAGACAAAGAGTAACAGGACAGAAGATTAGATGGGCAGAGGCCAGATTATGAAGCACCTTAAAACTGGAGTCAAGAAGATTAAATTTGACTAATAGCTAACATTTACTGGCGCTTAAAATCTGGCAAGCAATGTTCTAAACACTTTTAAAATATTACTTCATGGCTGGGCAAGGTGGCTCACGCCTGTAATCCTAGCACTCTGGGAGGCCGAGGCGGGTGGATTGCTTGAGGTCAGGAGTTGGAAACCAGCCTGAGCAAGAGCGAGACCCCCGTCTCTACTATAAATAAAAATAAATTAATTGGCCAACTAATAATATATAGAAAAAATTAGCCGGGCATGGTGGCACATGCCTGTAGTCCCAGCTACTTGAGAGGCTGAGGCAGCAGGATTGCTCGAGCCCAGGAGTTTGAGGTTGCTGTGAGCTAGGCTGACGCCACGGCACTCACTCTAGCTGAGGCAACAAAGCAAGACTCTGTCTCAAAAAAAAAAAAAAAAAAAAGGAACAAAAAAATATATATTAATTCACTTAACTCTCTAAGAAAGGTAGTATTATCTCTACTTTTATAGGAAACTGAGGTATAGAAAGATTAAGCAATGTGCCTACAGTTACATAACTAATAAATGGCAGTTTGGATCCAGAGACTTAACTCTTAACCATTATACCATACCTCAGCCTCCCAGAGTGCTAGGATTACAGGTGGGAGCTACTAGGCCCGGCCCCTCCTATATACTTTAAATCATCTCTAGATTATTTCTAATACCTAATACAATGTAAATGCTATGTAAATAGGTGTTATACTATATTTTTTATTGGTGTGATGTTATTTTTAAATTTTTTCCAAATATTTTAATATGTGTTTGGTTGAATCTGCAGATGCAGAACTAGTGGATACAGTGAGCCCAACTGTATATGTATTCAGGGGAGTATTGTCAAGTGGATGGGACTGAGAGGAGAGGGGGAAGATAATGTTGAATACATGATTAGATCAGGAAGGGCAGGCCCTAGGTGAATGAGTATCTGAATGGAGAGGCTGAGACCAGAAATCGGGGGAAGATACTAGATATAAAAGTTAACTTTGGGACTGCAAACTAGTTTCCAACCTCTGTGGAAAGCAATATGGAGATACCTTAAAGTGATACAAGTAGATCTACCATTTGATCCAGCAATTCCACTACTGGGCTCTACCCAAAAGATCAAAAGTCACTTTATGAAAAAGATACCTGCACTCGAATGTTTATAGCAGCACAATTCACAATTGCAAAGCTGTGGAAACAACCCAAGTGCCCATCAATTCATGAGTGGATTAATAAAATGTGGTATATGTATACCATGGAGTACTATTCAGCTTTAAGAAACAATGGTGATATACCACCTCTTGTATTTTCCTGGATACAGCTGGAACCCATTCTACTAAGTGAAGTATCTCAAGAACGGAAAAACAAGCACCACATGTACTCACTAGAAAACTGGTATCAATGGATCGGTGTCGGGCAGGTGGGAGAGGGGAGGAGGGGATGGGTATATACAAACACAATGAGTGAGATGTGCAACGTTTGGGGGATGGTCATGCTTGAAGCTCTGACTCAAGAGGGGAGGGAGGCATGGGCAATATACGTAACCTTAAAACTTGTACCCCCATAATATGCTAAAAGAAAAAAAGAAAAGTTAACTTCCTTCATAATTTAGTTTAGAGCAGCACTGCTACTTTAGAACACCTCGACCAGAACAGCTTCTCTTTTCAATATTTTTTCTATAAATTAGATTCCTTCGACTTTCAGCTTTTCCCCCTTTCTCAACTCTCTCTTGGCTTTATATGAGAAGAGGGTAGCTTTTGTGGTGACATCTACCACCTCAGCTTCCCTTACCTGCTCAGCTCCACAAGCAAATCTTTAATGGCTTTCTGTTTCCTTGACAATATGGTATAGTAGGTTAGAAGATCACAGAATCCTCTGGCAGGCATAGGGTGGCTCATAGCCTGTAATAACCAACCTTACCCGCATTTCTGAGGAAAGGACAACCCAAAGGTGGAGTCAGGATAATCGCTCGAGATCAGGAGGAAACCCAGCATGAGAAGAGCAACTGTCTCTACATATACGAAAGAATTAATTGAGCACTAATACTATAAGTCAGAATTAGCCGGGCATGGTGGTGCATGCCTGTAGTCCCAGCTACTCGGGAGGCTGAGGCAGCAGGATTGCTTGAGCCCCGGGAGTTTGAGGTTGCTGTGAGCTAGGCTGACACCAGGGCACTCTAGCCCAGGCAACAGAGCAAGACTCCATCTCAAAAAAAAAAAGTATGCAGGAGGATGTGCGCAGGTTACATGCAAATACTACACCATTTTATATAAAGGACTTGAGCATCCTTATATTTTGGTATCTAAGGTATGGGAGTGGTTCTGGAACCGATCCTGTTCATATACCGAGGGATGACTGTACATACTCTGACCAGGGTTTACCACACAGGGTATTCTATCTGGTATGCCATTTCAAATTTCTTCTTCAATTCTTTATCCCCTATTCCCTCCTCTTCAACTCCTCTAATGACCACAGCCACTCTGCCATTCCCTCAAAGCAATCTCTATGCTTTCTGAAATAACCTTTAGCTAATCTAGAAAATAGTCTGCTTTAATAGAAGAAAATAGGAGAGCAGGGGACATATCCAGGGCTGCCCTTTCATTTACAGATAATATAGGTATTTTAACTCAAAACATCTTTTAAAAGAATTGCTCAGTATTGGTTCCTGAATTGGTTCCCTTAACAGAATAACTTTATCCCCTGGGTTTGGGAATTTCAAGTTAATTGAGAAGAACTTCACAGCCAACTGGTGAATGAGATTCTTTCATGGTACCTGTCATGTAACACTCTTCCTTTGCCCAGACTTAGGGTTGGCTCTATTACGAATGAAGTATTCAAAAATACATAGCTCAAAAGAAGCATATGAAAAGATGCTAAACATTATTATTTATTAGGGAAATGCAAGCCAAATTAAAATCACAATGAGAAAATACAATATACCCAATAGAATGCTTAAAATTAAAAAGACTAACAATATCAAGTATTGGCAAGATGTGGAGTTCTCATATGCTGTTGATGAGAGTATAAAATGGTACAACCACTTTGTAAGATGGTTTGGCAGTTTCTTTAAAAGAGGGAGTGTAGGTATAGGGAGGGAAAAAAAAAGATAAGCATACATTTACCATACAATCTAGACATTCCATTCCTTTGACCCAAGAGAAATGATGACATCTGTCCACACAAAAACTTGTACACAAATGTTCATAACAGTTTTATCTATAATAACCAAAAAATGGGAACCACCCTAACGTTCATCAAGAAGTGAATGGAGGCCGGGCACGGTAGCTCGCCCCTGTAACCCTAGCACTCTGGGAGGCCGAGGCAGGAGGATCGCTCAAGGTCCGGAGTTTGAAACCAGTCTGAGCAAGAGTGAGACACTGTCTCTACTAAAAATAGAAATTAATTGGTCAACTAAAAATATATAGAAAAACTTAGCCAGGCATGGTGGCTCGTGCCTGTAGTCCCAGCTACTTGTGAGACTGAGGCAGCAGGATTGCTTGAGCCTAGGAGTTTGAGGTTGCTGTGAGCTAGGCTGATGCCACAACACTCTAGTCCAGACAACAAAGTAAGACTCTGTCTCAAAAAAAAAAAACAACTCCTGATACATGCAACAACATGGATGAATCTCAAAGTAATAACACAAGTGAAAAAAGCCAAACCTTTCCCCCCTATAAAAGTACATACCATTTGCTTCCATTTATATAAAATTATATTAAATATAAATTAGTATATAGTGAAAGATCGATGATTGCTTGGGGACAGGTGGAGGGAGGGATTACTTACAAAGGGGCATGAGGAAACTTTTGGGAGTGACAGACACGTTCATTATCTTGATTGTGGCAGTGGTTTCAAGGGCATAAATATGTCAAAACCCATAAAATTATACACTTTAAATATATGCAATTTATCACATATCAAGTATACTTCAATAAAGCTGTAATTTTTAAAAAATGGGTAACCCCTTTCCCTTTTCCTTTAGTGGAACAGATAAAAGACTTAGAATGACCATAGCAAGAAAAGGAAAATTAAAATAGAGACTTTCCTTCCTCTAGGAAATACAGAAGAGAATTACAGGACAAAGGAAAGAGAATATTTAATGATTTTATATTCTCTCCTCTACTCCTATCACAAGGACATTCCTGCCTCCAGAATGTCATCCTCAAAGTCAGAGACCATGGAATGGAGATTATCCAGTTTCAGAACATCTACCAAACCTGTGACTCATAATTCTGCTTTCCACTTCACCAAAAGTCAGCAGGTGGCGCTGGTGGCTAAAATGTTACTCAAGGGGGAATGAGACAAATCTCCAGGAACAGGAAAATTAAGGATTATCTGATAAAGAGTCTCAGTCTAGCAAGCAAGCTGAGTGCTTGTGTGGTCATGTTTCAGAAATGGGTTGCCCTTGAAGCATGGCTGACTGACTGAAGAGCAAATTGCAAAATGCAAAGTTCTCTCACTATTTGAAAGGGTGGTGATGGAACTATAACAACAAAAGAATTGGGAACTGTAATGAGGTCAACTGGATAGAATCCCACAGAAGCAAAGTTGC